AATGTTTAGATCTGGCAGAAATTACAACTGCACCAGTACGTGAGGTCCTCAACCTCATGCAGCAAGGCATAAAAGTGAGGCAAAATCATAATATCTGATGCCACCAAGATGGCAATCCTAATGGCTAATAGCTGTGGTTCAACGTCCAATATATAGATCGACTTTTACGAAGAGCACAAGTATCGAACAAAGAACGTACGAAGCTCCCCGAAGAACGTACGCTCTAATTCATAACGGCAACGCTTATCAGTCATTATTATTGTTAATCATCCATGCTTATATCGATTAATTAGATAAGTCAGATACCTGGTTGCTGTGCAGAGATTATCGAGAATCCGACTCTCAGCGCCAATCAGAATAGGGAAGAGTTGTCGCAATCTCTGCTGGCAAGAATTGGAGACGTATTCTGGTAGATCAGTCATACATATCCTAGTCAATCATCTATTTTTCGCTGAAGCTGCTTTTATATCCCCCAGCCTTTCAAAATTTTCCATCGATTAAACGGTGTAGAGAAGGATACAATGCATCCCTGACGAGCTTTGGGCGGCTGAAATTCTGAGGTACATTACAATGAAATTCACCTTTTCTGTACCGTGCCAACTCTGATACATTTCACTTAAAGGAACACCATGGTATTCTGTCAATTTTGATACCAACCACAACTTTATGGACATCAACCAACAAAACCATAAAGATAACGATAAGGGAAATATTAAAGATCAGTGTAGTCAGCAGCCATCCTCCTAATGCGGGTAATCAACAACATTCTAAAGAAGAATTCTCTCAAAAGATGCAAAAATGGGGAAATCGAACACCGGTGGTAGCATATCCAAGACAGCCACAACAGCAGCACAAGAAATGCACTTCCAAGGTAATTCATTTGGAAGGACAGCAAGAAAGTTGGAGAAATAAAATGAAGCAACATAAAATCTCTTGGTTAGCTTCCACGAGTGGTAGCGAGACAGGGTATCTTAATTATCCTCCTACAACGAATGTCCGACCAACACACCTTCCACCTTGTAACAGAGATATAAAGGAATAGAACAAAATGGAGGCAAGGTAAAGTACAATCTCGAAGGCGGAACAAGTTGCAATTAATAATTAGGACCCACGCAACCAAATCCAACACGGATTCAACACACGAAAACACGACCACAGTGATAAATT